GAGGGGGGGGTGCAAATGAATAGTTCGAGGGGGGAGGTGCAAATCGAAAAATGGAAAGGGGGGGTGCAAATGAAAAGTTCGAGGGGGGGGGGGGTGCAAATCGAAAGTTTGAAGGGGGGTGCAAATGAAAAGTTCGAGGGGGGGGGGTGCAAATCAAAAATTTGCTCCCGAGGGGGGCGCCAAATTGAAAGTATGTCCCCGGGCGCCGGGAAGGGTCGCTACGCCTCTGCAAGCAACGAACCAAAAGACCAAGCCAATTACAATCTAATACAATAAATAAGTTACAAAAGCTGGCCGTTATTCGGGACTCGATTCAATGTTGCCCTGTAATTCGGTTCTCGAGTCAATGTTGCCTACAATTCGCGAATATGTTGTCATATTATTCTGTACTCAAGTCAATGTTGCCCTGTATTTCGGTTCTCGAGTCAATGTTGCCCTGTAATTCGGTACTCGAGTCGATCAATGTATTCTCGTCCAGTGTTCGACTACGGGGGCGGGTCGGGGAGTGAGACTCGTTAACCCTGACAGAACATTACCCAGGGGACACAACCCTCAAGCAAACCCTCTACAGACTGACATCCAGTACACGATGCTATACACTGAACGATCAGCTCTGCCTGTCTATATGATGTGTAGAGGGAATTAATTAGCTTAGTTCTTTTTGCTATGTGTAAAGGGGTGTAACACGTTTACATTTTCTAGCCTCCCTTTAATTATCCGCCCTTGTGTGCTTTGTTGCCTCCCTTTGTTCTCTTAATTATGAGCTACCTCCCTTGGTTGTAATTATTTTATGTTTTAGTTAGCCAACTTTGTCCTTCTATTCCTTTGTATTTTTATCCTCCCCTTTTTTCATGTCTTTCTTGTGATGATGGTGAGAATACTTATACAAAACAATAGATACGTTCTACAATCTGCATTTGTGTACAGCTTGACACGACAAGGTCTCACTTTTTTCACCTTCTTCGTTCTTAATTGCAATCTTGAGGGTTATATTCTGCAACACAATTAAGTATAGCGTGACAACATGTTATTCGCCATACGACCCGATGACTCCAACTAATGCCTGATGTTTTCTCTGGATTTTCTTCTATAGCTTTTGTAAAGAACAAACTACAAGGCAGCGGTTGTTTGATTTTGGAGTTTTCTCTCCTAGATGGGTTGCTGTCTTCGACTAACTGACTTTATCTGCTGGGGATCTGAACTCGGAACTTTTGGAGTCAGTAATCATGCGTGCTCTCGCCCGGCCACGTCGTTCCTACGTTTTTCGACAATACTAAAATACTTCGGCTCTAGTTGCGTCACTAGCATTAAAAGGTAGCATGACGCATCGAACACCATCATACATTGTGACTCCACTGGTACGTACAAATTTTTCTCAGCTACATACTAAAAGTAATACAACTTGTTGATGCGGGTCTCTTATGTGTTGCTGTTATGACTTACTGGCTTAAAAGTCCATTTATAAATTCCAAATATTTTTTTTAATCCACCACAACCCAAAAACGCCTACAATAACAGCTGTTGTATTTTTATTCTTTTTATCTTTTTCTGAATCAAACCACAACTGATCCAGTGTAGTAGACCTATTTTATTTTTATTTGAAAGGAAAAGTGAGATAATGTTTGATTTAGCGTAAAGCAGCATCCAGCGATTTTTCACATAGAGCCACATTCAAGAGCATGAAAATCAGAACCTATTTTTAGTTTCCATCCTAGCTGGAAAAGCGCTGCTCATTTTTACCAACACAAATGGCGTGATTTAATTATCAGTAGGGATGCCATTTAGATACGAATACTGCTGTTTAAATTAATTCATTTTGTATGCATGAGGGGCTTACATTGTTTTGTGACCTAGATCATTTTATACATTATAAGTGAAATGGATACGTTGTAGATAACTGGGGTGAGGGAAAATAAACACATGAAGATCTGGGGTAGGGGAAAACCTAGGGTGGGGGACAATTGTAAATCTCGGGGTAGGGGGAAATAAACACGTGTGGTAACGACTCGTGCACTCCTGGGGTGGGGGGGGGGCACATAGACGCCTAGGGTAGGGGACACTTAGACGCCTGGGGGTGGGGGGACACATAGACGCCTGGGGTGGGGGGACACGTACACTGCTTGGGGTGGGGGGACACATACGCCTGGGGTGGGGACACATAGACGCCTGGGGTGGGTTCACATGCTCAAGTTTAAATTGAAGTAAAAAATATTCTGCAACTTATTCTTAAATCTGCACTGTTGCATGCTGTTATATACCAATTTATGTACAATAATTTCAAGAATATTGAATTTGCTTTAAGCATTAGACAATATATACTAGGATATTTATAATATCTAGATCTTACACCTCATAAAATAGATATGTATATTATTGACTAGAATAATTATATTCCTGCATATTACAAACTTTTAAATCATGTGGGGTTTTTTTTTAAACAATATTACTAGTCCAACTTAAAAGGATTGCCATAAAAAAAAATTCTATTTCAATTTAATTAATGGCAGTCCGTTTATGGAAATAGAAATTTGAATGTATTTGTCCTACATATTGGCATACATGTGTACACAGTCCAATCCTACTCTGTACATGAGATAAATATAGAAATATAGTTTAGATAGATGGATAGATACAGTTTGTTTAGCCGGACTAAACGATGGAACATTCCCCTGTGTGGCATTAGAAAAATGGCTCATCAAAATGGACGTAGAGAACTGTCAAAGAAAACGACAATAAATAGCTAATTTAGTCATCGTCTCGTTGAGGGAGTTTGTCGGTCTATGGGGCCCTATCATGTATCGCCCCTCCACTGGCAAGCCGGGGTCCCAGGGAGCGGGTTCCGGGAGTGGCGATTATTGTGGGGACACGCGCTTGTTTCACGATTGATTACTTTCTCGCTCGCGGTGCACGGCTTTCGTTGGCGCGCCGCTCCTAACATCTCATATGGGTAATAGGAGAGGCAGTGACTTCCCAATTATTCCCCCTCTGTTTTTCTTATTGACTTACAAATAGCCCGGTCTTTTCGCTAACTGGTACGGCACGAACATTGACGCTTACGATTGCGTGAAGCGCCCCCGACATGATCCCTACCGCCCCACCGGGGAGCTTCTGTAATAGTGTCTGCTTGATTTCGGGCGCCCCCGTGGGACACGGGCAGGCAAAAGGCGGAAGAAGAGCGGAAATGTTCAAGTGACGAATCCGATGGGGTAACACAGAACGCCACACGACACCGGACGGGCAGGGGGGGGGGGGGGAGAAATGGCCGCGGGCGAGCCGGCAATAATTAGAAAGTTTGAATCAATCCAACACAACCAGAGCAGACGTCTTTAACGCAGCTGTCTTCTGACGTCACGTGAATTTTGCACGTGCTCAAGTCCCGTTCGAATTAATTATTAATCAAGTAATAAATACGTGAAAGAAAGCCAAATCAAACTTAATGGCATGTCGATTAAGGCTGATCGTCTGTTGATCCGTTTGCCCAGTTCCAACCGCCTCCAGCCGACCACCGGAAATGATTGTTTTCTTCGTGTTGTCTTTAAACCATCACTTAAAACACGGGCCCATGATTATCAAGTCCGGCTCACACAAGGATCTGATTAAAGGAGGGCTCTCCATTTCAAACGGGAAATTCACAGTTAGCCTTTTTTTCATATTTCAATAGGGTCGGCGATAAAAGAGGTCACGCAATTTAGGGCGATCCTCCCTTCTCTCCCCCCCCCCCAAACACACACACACATACACACCGTTGTCATATGCAAGCGTAGTTTTCCTTAAATAATTCTTAAGAAATTAAACTGTGTATTGCGTCTTATATTTTAAAGTCTGAACACCGTGGTGAACTGAAACTGTCTTGTGTCTAACATCATTGTGACGTGGCAGTGTCTTGTGTCTGACATCATTGTGACGTGGCAGTGTCTTGTGTCTGACATCATTGTGACGTGGCAGTGTCTTGTGTCTGACATCATTGTGACGTGGCAGTGTCTTGTGTCTTGTGTCTGACATCATGGTGATGTGGCAGTGTCTTGTGTCGAAAATAAAAGCTCAACTTGCACTGTTTATTCATCCAGCCACAGTTTCATGTGTATTAAGATTAGGATCAACTTTTCAACACACCGCTATTTCAAGTTTCATTAAAGAACATATATATATATATATATATATATATATATATATATATATATATATATATATATATATATATATATATATATATATATATATATATATATATACAGTGGCGTAGCGAAGTCGGGTGTCACCCGGTGTGGCACTTAATGGTGTCACCCCCCAGAGGCGTAGCGACCCTTCTCGGGGACAAACTTTCAATTTTCGATTTGCACACACCCCCTATTCAAACTTTCGATTTGCACCCCCCCTTCTCATCCTTTCGATTTGCACCTCTTAAAACAGTATTTAACACTCGAATTAATCACTTATTTAAGTGAAATTATTATTCTTCTCTATATATTTTGCTATTTTTTGTGTCACCCGGTGCGGTCCGCACCCGCCCCCTCACTATATATATATATATATATATATATATATATATATATATATATATATATATATATATATATATATATATATATATATATATATATATATATATATATATATATATATATATATATATATATATTTATATATTTATATATATATTCAATATTTTACATTTGTCTGGAAACTGAATAAATCAAAGCACCGATATATGAAGCGATATTTAAGGCTACGGTCACATAAGACTTCGGTTACTCTATTATTTTTGTAACTGCCATTTATACCGAGCAACTGGCTAGCAAACTCAAAGGTTGCAGTTAGTTGAGCCGAACTTATCGTGTGTCGCGGCAGACGGGAGAAAACACCGTCTGTTGTTATTTCTACAGCCAGCAGCCACGCATTCATTAAACACAGACAAACTCACACATTTTCTGGTGTAAAAAAACCAAAGACAAATTTGTTTTGTAAGTTTGTTATTTACTAGAGCAGACCAGGCCACGATAAAAAAAAATCTTGAGCCAATCGAGGCATTTAATAATTACATGCAAACATTTCATTCAATAAATTAATTAATTGCATTAAACTCCAACGAGAGGGAGTTCTATGTTGTCATGTTTTATTTTATTTTCTAGCAATGGTTGATTGACATTAATTAGTACTTTAATCGATATGTATGTTTTAACATTAGTATCTACGATCATTGGTATTTTTTTTTATTTTTAGATTGTTAAAAGAAACCTAAGCATTTATAACAATTAATATCACATTTATACTACTGCCGATGTAATGAGACCATCTATCCTATGGTTGGTGTAATCACAATCCACGAATCCTCACTATCCGAATCCCTCTCCTCTCGCTTCCCCCTAGCCGAGAGATCGCTGGAGAGTCTAGCACTCTCTGACCCATTCATCTGATGCTGCGAGACAGAGATCAGCGTGACATTCTGGAACTCGCTGGGAAAACTCACGTCCACTGAGGTACTGTTCTCATCAACATTCGCATCATACAGATCGTGGCAACTGTCCTGACACTTTGAAAAATTGGTATCACACATGTGATGGCAACTGTCCAGACACTTTGAAACATTCGTATCACACATGAGATGGCAACTGTCCTGACACTTTGAAACATTCGTATCCCTTTCTCTCAGTTTGTCCCTCTCCGCCCTAGTCAACCGTTTCACCGATGGCGCCCTCTTGTGCGTGGTTCTGCTGCTGCTCTTCTCTGGGGAGTTCGGGCTATCAGACGACACGGAGCCTCCCGACGCAGACATGAACACGCTGCTCTGGTCATCTGATAGGTCGAAGTTCTCCTCTCCCTGGGACAAACAGTTACCAATCATGCTAGTCTCGTTCACAAAACCTTCCAGCGCTGGCTGTGTTTCTGATGCCGGCCCCATGTCGTAATCCGACTCAGTGCTTTTGTTGCCAGAAATAAGTGCCTTGATCTGGGCGATGACGCCTTTGCTGTTGTTGTTTGTTTGGGGCTGTGTCTGCTCTGAAAGAGACCCAAAAGTATGCTCTTGATTTTCTGTGCAAGACTGTAACTCATGACGAGGTTTTGGCCGTGGTTCGTTTAAATTAATTGTCTCTTTGGTTATTTTTTCAATGGACGCGTTTTGAATCTTGCCGTCTACCATCATTTTTGACATGGCCATTTTAAATGTTTTGCTGCAAGATTCCGTCATGGCGGTACTGTTGCAGTCGTTGGATGCTAGTGATAAAATGCCAACGCTATTTAAAGTTTCGCCAGAGTTGGATGCGAAAAGCTGATGTACGTTCAAGCTTGTCTTTGTGTCACCCATTGCGTTCCCGTTTATAATTATCTGATTTCTGCAAGGAAATCAACAGTAAGGAAAGATTCAATAGCGAGAACAGTAGCTATAGGTAGCAAACGAAAATGGGTAACCTTACAGCTATTATGAAACATAAGCAATACTGTAAGCCTATTGTTTAACCTCACAGTTAACGAGTGTATTGGTTTAACTAGTCTCCTTACAATATGAAATCTTCGGGTGACAAAGGTGACATAGGATGGTAAAACAGGGCACACATCTAATAGTAGTCATGCATTTTGTAATTCCAGATTTGGTACTTTCAGATTTTAACTTGTTTAATCATTTTACTAAGAATATATAGCAAGAATTCGGAGGATCATATTTCCTTTATCACAAAGAAGTTTACAAAATGTATACGCATTTTTTTCTATTTAGTATTTGTATATATTTTATTTGTTTATTTCGTTTAACATTTTGTAGATATTAATTATTTTGATTTTTTCTTTCTGTAAACACCAAATAAATGTATGTGAAAGACCAAATAAAGGTGTGAGAAGCATTAAACAAGATGTAAAAGCCAAAAAGCTATAAAAAAACAAAGTCCTGTGAAACACGAAACAAAATTTTGTAAAAACCAAAAAAGCTAAAAACAAAGTTCCGTGAAACACGAAACAAAATTTTGTGAAAACCAAAAAAGCTAAAATTAAAGTACCGTGAAGCACCAAAAACGTGGCTAAAGAAACAGCAGATACCTTTTATTGACGTTTAGCTCCGTCTTGTTGAGCTCAGACTCCAAGCTGTAGATCCGAGACTGTAGCTCAGAAAACTCTTTGGCACGGATCTGGGCGATACCTCTAGGTAGGACGATGTTCTGTGGCATGAGAAATTTGTTGTACAAATATTGTGTACACGCCAATCTTGTACAAGAGAAATGTGTTGTACAAATATTGGGTACACGCCAGTCTTGTACAAGAGAAATGTGTTGCACAACTTTTGTGTACGAACCAATAAATTGTTCGCACGCTGTTACATAATGACAGTGTTTTTCCTATTCGTTATTGACATAGAGAATCAGGTTTTATTGGATACTCGAGTAGTGAAGGGGGTATCAGTTGACATTGAAGACGTGTACAGAACAGCTCTGTACTATGTCGAGAACATGTGGTATGAACTGTGTTGAAGGCATGCAACTGGACACTTAGGAGAAACACGTAGAACTTCGCGTAGAACGTTGAGACAACAGAAGTGTACACATCGGAGTCCACCCTAGTATAACTACGGTATTTTTAAAACAGTCGCATTAACCATAATCCCCAACCCCAAACCCCACCATATTAAATCTATGCCCCTTCCCAATTAGCCCAATGGTTTGTTTAGCTGCTAGAATACCATCTATTTGTTTCTTGTACATTTACAGGCCGTATCGGTGTGGTGTGATTTGTTAGGGATGCTTTGCGTTAGTTCTTTTGTTCGTTCTTTAGTGTGACAAAGTTTAACCAATAGGGTGTAACAACACAGAGTTTAACCGTTAGGATGTAATATAACAGAGTTTAATCGTGAGGGTGTGATGTAACAAAGTTTAACCGTTAGGGTGTAATGTAACAAAGTTTAACCGTTAGGGTGTAATGTAATAAAGTTTAACCGTTAGGGTGTGATATAACAAAGTTTAACCGTTAGTGTGTAATGTAACAAAGTTGGGGTGTAATGTAACAAAGTTGAACCTTCTCAAACAAAGTCTCCTGCTGCTCCTCCTTCTCCTTGAGACACTTGTCTAGACGCTCCACCTGATTTTTCCTCAATAGCAGCTCCTTTCTCAGGTTTCTAAGTTGGGAGTTCTCCATCTCCAGCATCTGTGTGTGGGGGGGGGGGGGGCGCAAAATACGGGAGTTTGTTACATTATACAAGGTAGGTTGGGATTATTGTCTGTCTTAACTAATGCCACATTGTTATCAGCCACACCTCCCTGACATTGACTTTAAAACTATCCACCTACCTCTAACCTTAACTCGATCACCTACCACCTACCTCTAACCTTAACTCGATCACCTACCACCTACCTCTAACCTTAACTCGATCACCTACCACCTACCTCTAACTCGATCACCTACCACCTACCTCTAACCTTAACTCGATCACCTATCACCTACCTCTAACCTTAACTCGATCACCTACCACCTACCTCTAACTCGATCACCTACCACCTACCTCTAACCTTAACTCGATCACCTACCACCTACCTCTAACTCGATCACCTACCACCTACCTCTAACCTTAACTCGATCACCTATCTCCTACCTCTAACCTTAACTCGATCACCAACCACCTACCTCTAACCTTAACTCTATCACCTACCACCTACCTCTAACCTTAACTCGATCACCAACCACCTACCTCTTACCTTAACTCGATCACCTACCACCTACCTCTAACCTTAACTCGATCACCTACCACCTACCTCTAACCTTAACTCGATCACCTACCACCTACCTCTAACCTTAACTCGATCACCTACCACCTGCCTCTAACCTTAACTCGATCACCTACCACCTACCTCTAACCTTAACTCGATCACCTATCACCTACCTCTAACCTTAACTCGATCACCTACCACCTACCTCTAACCTTAACTCGATCACCTACCACCTACCTCTAACCTTAACTCGATCACCTACCACCTACCTCTAACCTTAAGTCGATCACCTACCACTTACCTCTAACCTTAACTCGATCACCTACCTCTAACCTTAACTCGATCACCTACCACCTACCTCTAACCTTAACTCAATCACCTACCACCTACCTCTAACCTTAACTCGATCACCAACCACCTACCTCTTACCTTAACTCGATCACCTATCACCTACCTTTAACCTTAACTCAATCACCTATCACCTACCTCTAACCTTAACTCGATCACCTACCACCTACCTCTAACCTTAACTCGATCACCTACCACCTACCTCTAACCTTAACTCGATCACCTACCACCTAATTCTAACCTTAACTCGATCACCTACCTCTAACCTTAACTCGATCACCTACCACCTACCTCTAACCTTAACTCGATCACCTACCACCTACCTCTAACCTTAACTCGATCACCTACCACCTACCTCTAACCTTAACTCGATCACCTACCACCTACCTCTAACCTTAACTCGATCACCTACCACCTACCTCTAACCTTAACTCGATCACCTACCTCTAACCTTAACTCGATCACCTACCTCTAACCTTAACTCGATCTGCTGTCGACGATCCCTCTCCTCTGTATTCTCGCCCTGCAGTTTTTGGATCATTTTCTTGCGCAGCTCGATCTCCGCGCTCAGAAGTTCCTTCTCGCTCTCTAGCTCTTTCAGCCGTACTCTGACGTCATCAAGCCTAGAGAGGGCTTCAATCAGTTGCCTGGGGAAGAGAGTGGGACAGCCTAGTTAATGTGGCTATTTGACAGAAGAGGGTATGAGCCTATTTAATGTGGCTATTTGACAGAAGAGGGTATGAGCCTATTTAATGTGGCTATTTGACAGAAGAGGGTATGAGCCTATTTAATGCGGCTATTTGTCAGAAGAGGGTATGAGCCTATTTAATGTGGCTATTTGACAGAAGAGGGTATGAGCCTATTTAATGTGGCTATTTGACAGAAGAGGGTATGAGCCTATTTAATGCAGCTATTTGACAGAAGAGGGTATGAGCCTATTTAATGCAGCTATTTGACAGAAGAGGGTATGAGCCTATTTAATGCCGCTATTTGACAGAAGAGGGTATGAGCCTATTTAATGCAGCTATTTGACAGAAGAGGGTATGAGCCTATTTAATGCAGCTATTTGACAGAAGAGGGTATGAGCCTATTTAATGCAGCTATTGGACAGAAGAGGGTGTGACAGCGGTCAATTCGTTACGTTAACATTTTGATTATGTTTGAAACATCTACAGTGGCGTCACTAGGTCGGGTGACACACGGTGCATTTACCTAGAGTGACACCCCTTTCGTTCACGACAACATATTTAAACCTAGGGCGAGTAGGTGCCTTCCCCCACCCCCTTATCCCGTAAAGTGTCACGCTATATATTGTTGATGTACAAAGCTTTAATAGACTAGTAAATTAACTAGAAAAAATGTTTTCTCATTAAAATGAGAAACTTTTTGATTTTGATGTCACCCCCCTTGGATGTTGTCACCCCATGCGGACCTCATCAGCCTTCCGCCCCCGCCTCGTGATTCACAGTTACCTTTGAAACTTTTCAGTTACCTTTGAAACTTTTCAGTTACCTATGAAACTTTTCAGTTACCTTTGAAACTTTTCAGTTACCTTTGAAACTTTTCAGTTACCTTTGAAACTTTTCAGTTACCTTTGAAACTTTTCAGTTACCTTTGAAACTTTTCAGTTACCTTTGAAACTTTTCAGTTACCTTTGAAACTTTTCAGTTACCTTTGAAACTTTTCAGTTACCTTTGAAACTTTTCAGTTACCTTTGAAACTTTTCAGTTACCTTTGAAACTTTTCAGTTACCTTTGAAACTTTTCAGTTACCTTTGAAACTTTTCAATTACCGTTGAAACTTTTCAGTTACATTTGAAAGTTTTCAGATACCTTTGAAACTTTTCAATTACCTTTGAAACTTTTCGGTAGAATTGACGATAGTTTCCATGGAGATGAGCTGAAACGATTCTGACCTCTTGGAGTCCGTGGCTACAGTGTTGACATAGGAAACAGGCACCTTGGGCATGCCGATACTATGTACTGATGTTTCCAGATGTTGCGATGGCGCTGTGGCCTTCCCTACCATAGGCATCACATATAAAGAACATCCTTCACACGGATCCTCCTTTTCGAAGTGGATTTTTTTTCTCTTCGGTTTTGATTGGCCAAGAAGTTCTAAATCAAAAGGTCGCCTTTTGTCCTGAAAAACGGGAAAACTTTATAGTAATCCGCGCTTTGGACATTAGTTAAAGTTTACTTGAGAAAACAAATATTACTGGCCATTAATAAGCTTTATATTAGAGGAGAGATTTACTAACTTATTTAATTAACCATTTATTTTAAAATATTTGATTGCTAGATTTAGTATTGTAACAAAACTCAACATGTTTTTATTTCTAAAAATTGAAAATGAATTGTCTACCCCTATATATTAAAGTGATAAAAGAACCCCTTCATCTAGGCGTTTTGACGCAGTATTTTACGACCTTATTATGTATCATAGATTATAGATAGCTGAAGAATGAGCTTTAATAGATCATCAATGATCTACAGAAGACTAGAGCGGTTTATCAACTACGTATTACTGAATTAGCACAGTTGAATGTGTTCGAATTTCTACTTCCATCAGTCGCATAACTTGCGTGTTAGCCTAGATGCAGATCTTAGTTATGCTAGGTTGGGATTACAGATAGGTTTAGAACTTACACCTCACTTCATGAAACCAGGTTGGGATTACAGATAGGTTTAGAACTTACACCTCACTTCATGAAACCAGGTTGGGAATACAAAGGTTTAGAACTAACACCTCACCCCATGAAACCAAGTTGGGAATACAAAGGTTTAGAACCAACACCTTACCCCACGAAACTAGGTTGGGATTACAGATAGGTTTAGAACTACACCTCACTCCATGAAACCAGGTTGGGAATAAAAATAGGTTTAGAACTAACACCTCGTCCGACGAAACTCTAAACTGAAAGTCTTTCATGTCGTTTTCAATGCTTTCAATGTCAAAATTTAGAAAGTCATAAAACTGCAAGTATTTCAATTTAATATATATATATATATATATATATATATATATATATATATATATATATATATATATATATATATATATATATATTGAACTTTGGAAACAACCCGTATAACAAAAATCCTGCATTAGCCACTGGCTGAAAGTATGTGTTTGCGACTAATAAATTAGTTGGTCACTAAAATGAGCAATTATGCATGACATGTGATTCGTCTTTTAGCCAATAGATACATATGTTTATGCCCAATAAGGCACTTCAACCTAAACCAAACCACAATCTCTATGGGGGTCGTCCATACATGACGTCACGCAATAATTTAGCCGGTTATTACGCTACCCTCACCCCTCCTATAGGCTTTATCCAGCCTGATTATAGATTCGAGGCAACCAAATCCTAGCGGTCTATCAATGACCCGAAATCCTGACCTTAGCACTGGCCCTATTCTTAACAACAACAGCAAGAAAATTAAAAAAAACAACAATACAGTACTGTTGTGCCGCAGTTTCAAAGAACCGGCAAACAGCTTTAAGAGTTAAGTACCAAGTCAACGTAACCGCTCCAAGAATGACGGTATCTCCAAAAACCATAAATCAACACAGTTGCGACGAATCCTACGAAAATCTGGCGGTTGACCGGCTTTTGCGTATTACCCATGAGCAGGTCGACTATCTTCTGCAGCATAGCCGACAAATCATAGTCCAAGATCTTAATTCCGGACATATTCGGAAACTGGGGCCAGCTAGAGATTTGAAGGAGACTGGCCAGGTACGCATTGCCAGACGAGGCCGGTAAAGGCGAGCTGATGTCCAGGACATCCGGTGTATAATCTTTCAGTACGGCTTCCGTAAAGTGGGGGAAATTCGCTTCCATTGTAGCATTAGCCGGACCGAATCCGAAATACTCCATTGCCGTGTTAGTACTTAGCCTGTTGGTAATCTTTAACCCAAGTGCCTAATTTGAAAACAATTCTTGATTTCGAAACTGCTTGAATGGGTGCTAGTAGAAACAGCTAACCCATTCTAAGAATTAAAATGAAACACGAAAGGGCGCGCGAAGTCATATCGCTCGCCCTACGATCTTGAGCTGGGTTGGTGGTTTTAGGGCAAGATGTTTCTGCAGCCCTGCGAAGAGCATGTTGAACAAAAACAAATGGTGCGTCCGATGCACAGATTTTGGTGACGTTTTACACCGATCGAGTGCGCTGTTTTCGGTACCGTGTGATGCGCAAATAAAATAAACTGTGATTATTATTCGCATTCTTATATCATACAACTTTAACACTAACTTTATATTATTACATGATCAGGTTTACAAGTTTTACAAAACTAAACTATAACAACGAATCGTAAAAAAATAAATAAAAGAACAATGAACAAATTCATTGCATGGAATTCAGCATAGAAAGACAACTGTTAATAAATATTATCTCCCTTGTTCCATATGTAGGTTAAGTTTGATAGAGTTATTTGGATTACTGTTACTCATTATCCCCTTTTCTTTGCCAAGCTCTACCATTTCCGTCTTTCTCAAAAGAGGTTCTATGAGAAAGATAAGCAATGATTGTTTGTTTTTTTAAATGAGCTGATACATTGCAATAGAAGAGTGTTGGCACGTGTAGGGGAATAACGGAGTGCATTATAAATTATTTACACTGTATGGAGTTTACAAGTATTCGCGTGGGAAACAGACTAACGATGAGTCCTCTAATAATATTTAGTTGACCATCAAGGCCAGCAGATAACTCTTGTAATATTTAGTTGACCAACAAGACAGGAGCCTCTGTCTTTACCTCACCCAACTGAAGCATGCATTAACAGAACAAAGCTTGGAGATAATTAATAGTAAATTTATTGCATTGTTTTTACAAACAAATTGAAAGTTTAAAAATCAACAATTATAAATGCATATAACAAGTCTAACTCATTTCAGCTAAAATTGCTGGAACCTTTGCATTAAAATACAACGAAGTTTAAAATATTTATTGTACAATCAACAATAAAAGATTATTTTTTCACAGTAAAATCCATATATAATTACAAAAATAACAAATTGAATACCCATTTAAATGCAAAATAATTCAACCGAAGGAAAAAAATGCCCATGTGTGTGTGTTATAAATTGGGAGCTTCACATTATTGTAATTCTTCCTTCACTATTAAAAGAGATTAGGTTAATTATCCAACCATAAACGAGCCTGACAAAAAGGATCTAGCTTTGGGCGCTGGCATCAGGCCAAGGGTTGACTTAGTGACTGGCTGAGCTTTTCTTGGGACCGAGGAACTGCTGCCTGCAGTTGCTGCCTTGTTGTAGTGAAACTGTTTCATGCTGGAGCTACAACCATTAAAAAACTCAAAATTGTATGCACCATAAAGTTAGCCTAGCTTCACAAATACAAATCAGAATTTTTAAAACAATGTTAACAAACCTTTGTACTTAAAAAATAAAAAACCGTATTAGTTTAAACAGAGAATTTATGAGTTGTAAAAAATAAAGTACATATAAACTTACAGGTCAACTTTTTTCTTTTGGCTTTCCTTCCCACTAGTCACTGTTGACTTTCTGCTTTTAGCTTTACCACTCTAGATAAATAACAATTTGTATCATAATTTAGAATGAAACAGTTATCTTTACTTAAATTAAAATTTAATCAGTGAGATAAAAATGACATACTTTTGTGCCACCTTTGCCCTTCTTCCAAAACTGCTTCTTCCCAAACTTCCCTCTGCCTTGTCCCTTCCCTCTTTTGGAAGTCGAAGTTTCTTCAAAATAGCTGGACGTCCACTCCCCACCACCTCCTTTTGTATTAGTGTCGTCCTCACTATCATCTTCAATAAGTGCTGAAACATGGCCATAAAAAGATGAAAACTTTGATCTATCTAACCAAGCAATCACATCCTGGCTTAAACCATAAGGTAATAACTACCTGAAAGTTCAATGCTGTATTTGAGAGTTATCTCCAGCAGTCTTTCAGCCTGGTATTTGTCTATGATGGTGGCGTTGAAGTGGTCAATCTGTTCTATCATCTCCTCCCGTGTGATGGGAGTGCGCTGGGCCAGTTGCTTGAGAGCGCTCTCTGGGAAGATGACTGCATAGTTCTTTATGTTGTGTTCAGCAGCTGAAAGGTGACAGAGGTGAAAAGTTAGATCTAATGCCCTGGTATAGCATGGAACTTGTTCTGGGATTAAAAGCTGGTGTAGCTAGGAACTTGCTCTGGGATTAAATAGCAAGGAATGATCTTTTTGATGCCTGTGAGCCCATTGAACTTAAATAAGTACCCTACAGGTAGCAATTACAATAAGGAAGACTGATCTTGAAAGGGGAAATACTTTGTTTCTCAGATGTATGAAAACTTAAAGAGTGATCACTCCATAAACACTGCAATGGGCCTGTACAACATTAAGAGTGACTTGCCTATTTCTTTGGCTTTAGCTCTGAGCTCAGTGAGGCACTCCATTTCTAATTTCTCCCGACTGTTCTTTGGTTCAGATCCAACTTTAGCAACATCCATACGACGCCGTCCTCCTTGTATGGCTATCTCCACCTAGTAAGAGATACAATTATTTTAAAAATCAATTCCATTTTTTATATTAACAACTAGAATACTCTAAACTTCTATTGTTAAAATCATTCCCAATATGAAGCAATTTAAGCCTAGACATTTTTTAAAATCAATATAATTATAAAGCTAAAGAGGCTTAAAAAATGTTTAACTAAGTATAATTATGAAGTTACTGAATTTTGCATATTTTTAAAATCATTCTAATTATGAAGTTATTGAAACCCAGACATTGCTAAAATCAATATCATTATGAAACTATTGATAATAAAGCCTGTAAAATGTTCTTAAAGTTTTTTTAAGGGATATGAAAATTGTTTAGTAATCATGCCTTTAATTTATTTTGCATCAAGTCAATAGCCCGTGGCCCAAGTTTGACGTAGCTGACTGCGTGCTCCTGGGCAGTGTAATGAATGTCTTCCTTTAAAATGCCCTCTATGACCATCTTGCGACACAGTCTCTCCACATCAGTTCTGGCCCAGTCTTTACCCCTGCCGTGTAGTGCCAGCTTGGCATGTCCTAGGTTTTGGATTTTTGTGTTGTTGGAGCCTTGGTAAAGAGTACAAGTTTTTTTTAAACAGCGCAGTCTTGAATAGTATAGTGTATAATAAATAGTAATTTGTGCAGAATAATAAGTTATTTTCATAATTATAAAAAGTAATTAGTGAAGAAGTAATTAGACTGAATAAAAAGAAATAAGTGCAGAAAAAAAAGAAAAAAGTAATTTTTGTTTCAAATGACCTTTAAAAATCTCCACAAAATGGATGAGCGTGTAGTTTGACCGTCCGTTTGAGTTGAGTTCTTTCACACACTTGACAATTTCTTTGGCATCTGCTGTTACGTCACGCTGAACAAATGAATCCTGCCAACAAAAATATGGTCCAAATTCAGTTATATTACCAATAAGTATATTTCAAATATTTTTAATTTTGTCAACTTCAATGGCAAGAATATAAAAAACTATGAGTTACATTTTTTTAAATTAGGGAATTTAATTAAACTTGGATAATAGTCAATTTTTTATTAAAAAATTGGCCTGTACAATTGAAAAGATGCTGACACTGAATTACCTTGTTATCACAATTATCACAAAGAGCTCCTTTGATGCTGGCGCACATGTTGCGATCAAAGCTGCATTCACCAAAGTACTGTAAGATTTGACACCTCCTGCAGTCTGTCACATTCTCACAGTAGCTCACCATTCGAAACAAGTTGTCATTGTGGACTCTCTTGGATTCAAAGTTTGCACTTTGATCCACTGGAAATATAAATAATATTTTTTTAATTTACAATTTCTAGTTTTTCCTATTTGTTTTATTCAATATGAGAAGACAATTATGTTTACTTAGTTATTTTTTAAAATAGTTTTGAACAGTTTTATAAGTAAAAAATATTTAAAAGGCAGAAAGTTCTAAACACAGATAAATATAAAAAAAATACTTTCTATAATCCTCCGTAATCGCTTGACATCTTGGTAGGTGTAGAAGAGGATACAGTATGAGAGTATGCCATCCCTGCCTGCCCTCCCAGCCTCCTGGTAGTAGCCCTCCACTGACTTGGGCAGCGAGTAGTGGATGACATATCTCACATCAGCTTTGTCAATACCCATACCAAACGCTATAGTTGCACAGATGATCTGAGGCAGAGGATATGTAGAAATGACTGAAGAATTTATTATAAAAAATGAATAAAATCACTGTAGAAATTATCACAACAATGAATAAAAATACTGTAGAATTAATAATAATAATTAATAAAATGATTGTAGAATTCATAATAAAAATTAATATAATGATTGTTGAAATTATAATAACAATGAACATGTGTGTGGTCTTGCTGAAGCAACAAAGAAGGATGATGTTGTCTGAGTACCTTGCAGTTGTCATCATTCAACCATTTCTCCTGGACCATGGCCCTGACATTGTCATCTAGACCAGCATGGTAGGCAGCGGCTTGCAGGCCAGCTTTCCTCAGCTCACTTGCCACGTTGTCACATTCATTCCTGGCAGGATACATTTAGGTTACGTCAGAGTAGCTACACCACTTAATGATTTTATAATTTATACTTGTCTTGTGTAATGGGTGTTGAAAGTGAGAGCTAAAGGTTTGGCCTACCTTGAAAGACAATAAATGATGCCACTATCTTTAGGAAATTTAGATTTGACTATTTCTATGACATCAGCTGTAGCATTTGATGGCTTTTTATTTTGTAAAGTATACTTCAAGTTTGGCCTGTTAAAACTCTGCATAAACCTGAGCAATTAGAGGAAAAACCAAAGGTCTGAATCAACACTATATTTTGTTGTAATGTAATGACAAGAGCTACACACACATTTATTACATTAACAACCTCAAGAGGTTTCTGAGAGTAGAAATGTTAAATACAATTAATAAGCAATAGTATTTTAAAACTCTAGTATATTTATTAAACAAAATGTTTTTTTAAGATGTTAAAACAGCTGAGACTTGTACATCAGTGATATCATAAAATAACACACTAATTAAAAAACTGGTAGAGGAAATAGAAGAGGTTTACCACTTGGGACTGGTCATAGCCAGTTGATGGATGATGTCTTGCCGAACTCTTGGTGTAGCTGTGGCAGTAAGTGCCATCATGGGAACTCCTGGGAATCTCTGGCGCAGTACATTCAGTTTTTTGTAGTCAGGACGAAAGTCATGCCCCCACTACAGATGTACATTTTTATCAGTCAAATCCTCACTAAGGATATTTATTTTGAAAAGTGGTTTCGCCTTTTTTAAAACTTTATTTTAACACTAAAAACATTACATTGACCAGTCAGACTCTACTAACCTGACTAACACAGTGGGCTTCGTCTATGACAAAACGTGTTAGAAGTTTGCGACAGAACAGATTGTCAAGGCAATTTAGAAGTTTTTCACTGGCTGAAAGCTGAGGATCAATTGATAATTTCATTGTTTACTAAAGTAAAAATAAAAACTTCCTGAAAAACATAGTAGTGATTGCAAGTGTTTTGTTTCTACATTGATAAAACATCAGAATGCAAAAACAAAAGCATATTGTATCAATAATGTAATAAAAAATAAAATAAGTTTTACTAACTGACTCCTGTTAAAAAACGGTTACCTTTTCAGGAGTAACATAAAGTAACTTGTAGGCAGGGCTTCTCTGAAACAACCCATTGTAAACAGACTGAGCTTGGCAGGTGTCAGCGTCACTAGATAAATATGCTGCTGGTATCTAAGACATTACAGTAAAAACATTTTTAAATAAATACATATGCAAATATGTTAAGATTAATTTTTTTTTAATCATAATATTTTAATAAAGCTGATATTTACCAAATTATAAAATATATGTCTGTCAGATTAAACAACATAAATAACTAAGCTTTAGCTCTGCTATTTTAGTCTGATAGAGATGACACATGAAACGATCAACTTACATCCAGAGATAAGAGTCGTTGTGTCTGGTCTTGAATGAGGGCTTTCAATGGAGAGATGATGATAGACACACCATTTGTAACTAGAGCAGGAAGCTGATAGCACAAACTTTTTCCTCCTCCTGCAATCATTTACAACAACAGGTGGATACATATCAATACAAGCAAGGGGCAATAACTCTCAAAATAAATAGTTTGACAAACTAAAAAATTTTTTGTTCAAACCAAAAAAAAAAAAAAACTAATATGAAAAAAGTAAGAAGCTCTAGAATCTGACCTGTTGGCATTAGAATAAAGCAATCATGCCCTAAAAGCGCAGCATTAATGGCGGCTAGCTGGTTGTGTCTGAACTCTTTCAATCCAAAGACTTGATGAAACATGTTCAACAAGGTGGAACTGTGGTCAAAGTTCATGCCTGAAAACTCTGGAGATTCCCCATCATCATGGTCAGTTTTAGTGAATTGAGGGACATAGTCCATATCTAAAGAATGAGAAACATTGTCAATATCACCATAACATGAGAAACATTGTCAATATCACCATAACATGAGAAACATTGTCAATATCACCATAACATGAGAAACATTGTCAATTTCACCATAATATGATTAGTTTAAGTGAACTCAGGGACATAGTCCATATATAAAGAATGAGAATCATTGTCAATTTCACAATGACCATGATCAGTTTTAGTGAATTAGGGGAATAAATAATGAGATGTCAATAAAAAAACAATTTGAAAACAAAAACATGTTGCTATTTTTGACATTGACATTAAACATGTACTAACCTTCAGCATTTTGTTTGAAAGATGTCTCTAAGTAATCACTAAAATCCTCATTAGATGTAATTGAAACACAGTCCGTTACTGACTTTTTAATGACCATATTGCTTTTTGACGGAGTTGATTTTTCTTTCTGCCCAACTGAGGGCCTACTATCACTGTTGTGTGCTTTTTTCGGGGACAAGTTCCTATCTATCATATTGTTACTGTTACTTTTGTTCTGGGACAAGTTCCTCTCCATCATATTGTTACTGTTAGTTTTGTTCTGGGACAAGTTCCTCTCCATCATATTGTTACTGTTAGTTTTGTTCTGAGACAAGTTCCTCTCCATCATATTGTTACTGTTAGTTTTGTTCTGGTACAAGTTCCTCTCCATCATATTGTTACTGTTAGTTTTGTTCTGAGACAAGTTCCTCTCCATCATATTGTTACTGTTAGTTTTGTTCTGGGACAAGTTCCTATCTATCATGTTTGCAGCTTCCATTTCATCTTCATAGTCCCGCTCATAGAGATCTATGCTTTGGTTCATGTCTTGCATAGATTTCACCCCACAGGAAGACTGAGATGTATTTAAGCTCAGATTAGAAGACTCATTTTTGAAAGATGCAGAAAAATCAAACTGGTTTTCAAAAAAGCTATCACCACATGGGACCCTAGGAGTGGAGGAAGTTTTCCCTTGTCTGTTTGTGTTGTCTGATTTCACTTCTACTCGAGTGTTCAGAAACTTGAAAGGTGTGATGGGGGGTCTCAATTCTGTGCCAGTTTTTATACTTTGATCTGTTCTGGTTACAGAATGGCTGCCTTGTGATGAAACTTTTGGGTGGGATTTGTTGGCTTCTTTTAGAGCTTTCTCCACATCAACAGTTCCAAGATCTTTTATCTGCTTTCTGGAGAATAAAATCATTTAAAAATAGTATTATAAAACTTAACAAAACAGTGGAGAGATATTGAAAAAAAATATAAATAACTAATGCAGTTGAAATTTCCTTGAAAACATTTTGCATAGAAAGATGAAGGAGGGGTAATATGACAATAAAAAAAAACAACAGGCAGAAGGTAGGGTGCATGATACAAGTGTATATTAGATACAGATCTAGGGATGCAGTGGCTGAACAAACATCAACAAGTCTCTAGTTTGGTTCCTAGGTCAGTAGGACATCATTGAGACTACCTGGCTTTAGTTAAGTATAGTATGGTTGACATGGCTAGTGCTGACCACACAATCCCTTCACATGCTGAGGTTATTGAGATAGATGAGCTCCACTTTATCTGACCTATAATATGTTAGTTCTGAATTTTTTTACTTACTTTACTTAGAAGAAAAGCTAATTTTTCCACAGTAAATAGTTATTTTTTAATAATGGTTAAATACAAAATTACCACAAAGACAGTTTACACATTTCTGCAATCTGAAACACCATCAAAGAACTCAGAGGTAATTTTTTTTTATTGTGGTATGCCAAGGTGTGTAATTCAATTTTTTAAATGAAAATATCTACGTAAAAGGTTACAAGGCTCTAGGTTATTACTAAGTAATAGAACTTTTAGCCATAATTATAAATGACACATAGGTTTTATTACATATGAACTACCATATGTATTTTGATAGATAGATAGTAAAGTTTGAAGGGGAAGCTTAACATTACCATAAAAATCTAGAGGGAAAATATATATATATCAATATATAGGGGTGTAAAATAAAATAGTAGAGGCAACAAGTAAAAGAACAAATTACATGAAAAAGATCAGGCAAGAGAGAATTAAGAATGTTTGACATGACCAGAAGAGGACATCAGCAAACTAAGTTTGCTTGGAAAATCTGTAAAAAAAAAACTTAAATATTTTTCTCACCGCACAAAAAGAAGCTTTTGAAGCCTCTCATGATTTGAGGAAACAAACTTCATCAGGTCACCCGTCTTGATTTGACAGACAATCTCACAGACTTCGTCAACTACTTGTAAAAGAATGTCTCTTAGTTGAAAAATTTCATTTTCAGTGAGCTGAAAAATATAAAATGTAATAAAACTAAGCATTGAATTACATCGATGTAGAAACAGAATGACCCTATTGACAGAAGTTATACAGCTTATACTACCTTATTCATTGATACAACAATCTCATGTTACAAAATTTTATTCCCCTGCTTACTGTAACTTTTTCTAAGAAAAATTATTACAAATATTTTCATAACATACCATGGAAGAGTTTATTTTTTTAAGCAAAGGATGTTGACAAATGTCTAAAAGTGGTTTTGCTGATTCTGCTACAGAAAGCTGATTCACTTGTTCTGCACAAAATTAAAATGTGACAATTTTATGTATAATATGATGCTATAAGTAGTATAAGCCAAATGTCTCAAAATAGCCAAAACAATAAAGGAAAAAAATAAAAATAAAAATAATATGAGGAAAATCACCTGGGCGTGATAACTGATAAGTTGGTTGACTGGGAGGATCATCTTCTTCATCACTATCTATTATTTTATTTGGACGGTGTCTTTTTGCTTTAGGCCAAAGTTCTTCATCAGATTCAGCCTAAATTTTAATTGAAAAATTTTAAATTGTATTGCAACTGTTGTAGTATAAATCTTAAAGGTTTGGGTAATATATCTCATAAGTTAAGTTCAATTAGAAACATCTGTCTCTTTTAAAGATGTTTTTAAATGTACTCTGATTCAAACAAATTAAATAATAAAAAACATACATATGGTAAACTATCCTTTTTTTCTGGTGTGGCTGGAATAACTTCAGCAATATTTAATGCCCCTAATTTCTAATTGGGAGAAAATAACTTCTAGTTAATAATTTTTAAAAAAACTAGTAAAAAACTTAATAGACAAATAAAAAATAAATAAATAAAAAGCATTTTTTAAAAGAAGAATGAAATTTTTAGCCAGTCATTAAAAACCAACAGGAAATTAGGGGAAAGAAAATAAATGTGTTTACCTGTTTTGGAGATTTAGCTGACACAGGAGTTGAATAGGATTTTGGAGTTTCTAATTGATACATCAGAACAAAAATTGTATGAGTATACCAAAACATTACAAAGAAAAACATAACATATAATGCATAAAAATGGTAAATTATTTATTTATTGTTTTCTCTTTCAACATAATAGTACAGTCTTCAGATTGTACCAATTAATTCTAATAAACTATATACAACCATCCAGCTAAAAAAACTGACCTAAAAATTAAATAAATGAAATTTCAACAAAAACTATGTTTATTGAGCTTAAAGTTTGCTTACTTTGTGAAAATAAAGGAGGTTCAAAGTCATCATCATCATCAAATATCTCTATGGGTATGTCATCCAATATTTTTTTCGAGACAATTTTACTCTGAGATGATTCAGTACTATTTTTTGGCCTAGCAAATTTAAAAAATTGCTTAGTAAAATATTAGCATGGCTTAATAGTAAAATATATTTTTTAAAAGAACTTAATAATAACAAGCTTTTAAATGCATTATAAATAAGAAAATGAACAATCTTCTACAGGTGTTATAAATCTAGTAGTAGTAATAATATATTTACAACACTTTGAACATTTTACTATAATAGCTAAAGACATTTTTAGACTTTGACAGGCAGCTCTGTTTACTAGCTAAACAGCTTTTATTTAAGTAATTTAACAAATATTCAAATGAAAACAAACTTACCTTTGAGGCTTAATGGCTGCCACAGCGACTGGTCTATTCTTTACAAAAGATGAAACTGGAGTTTGAACTAATTCATTCTATCGCAAATAAAGATATTTTAAATAAATCTCTATTTATTAATTTATATGATAACAAAGTTAGCAAATTAACAGTTTTAAACAAAAAATAGAAGGTCACGAAAGAATATATTAATGAAATACCTTAGGAATTACTGGAGTTTGAGAGGAAACTTTATTTATAGAACTTGTCTGAAAGATAGGAGCAGGGGTTATAACCCCAGAAACATTAGGTCTTGACAATGGCAAAGGTGAAGGACTGGCTCCAGGTTGCAGCTTCTTAAAAGTAAATCTGTTAGAAATATGAAAGTCAATCATAGATCTATATGTTTGAGTCAGTTGTAAGAGTAGTAAAGCTATTGAAAAAATGAAGACAATCAAAGATGAATATATTTAAGTCAGTTGTTGAGTTAGTAAAGCTATTGGAAATACAAAAGTCAACCAGAAATAAATATTTTTTAAGTCAGTTGTAAGAAGAAGTATTGTGTTTTAGCAAGAAACTTTTAGTAACTGCTTATTAATATTTACCTGGAAGAGTCTTTACAGGTAACAAAAAACAGTAAAACTTGTTGGAGCTAATTGTTGAATGTTGTGGTACTTTGAACCATATTAAACTAGCAATGTCAGTCTGTTGGTTCACCTCAGGTTTAGCTTTTGATTTAGTATCATGATTTTTGTTTAGTGATTTAGATTCTAAGCGATAAACCATTTCCATGAGAAATATTAGAAATAGTCAAGTGTACAGCTTCTACTTGAGCTAAAGTACATAAAATAATGGCATTTGCTATGCTAGGTTTTGTTAAAACTTACCCTTTGAATGTTGCTTTAGACATTGTGCTTAAATATGTTGCACTCAATTTACCAATCTGAAATTAAAATATAAATAACTAAATAAACTTAAAATCTTACTTATAGTCTATAGTTTTGGTTAAACACCAACAAGAGAAATGAAGTCAGAGAAATAAACAGAAGTTTAATAAAATAGCTTTGCAAAAACATTTTTTTTAAATCATATTTTTGCAAGTACTTTAAAGCAAGTTAATTATTTGTATAATGAAGATTTAAAAGTTTTTTTAAAACTAGGTCTAATTATGCTTCATAAAACAGGATACTTTCTTTTCAAGTAAATCCTTAATTAAAAATGGCAAATATACTAATATTTTATTTTATACTTGATAAGTAGATGCTGATTATGATATAAGGGGTCATCCATAAATGACGTCACACTTTTATGGACGATTTTTACCTCCCCCCTCCCCTCCGTCACACGTCGTCACAAAAAGCCAGACCCCCCCCCCCCCCCCCCTCAAATGATGTCACACCTCAACCTACAACCCCCCTCAAAATTGCAGTTGAATTTTTTTTAAACATCAATATTTTTCCAAAATCTTGTCTAAACTATTACAATTTATTAAAACAGTTATCTAAAACGCGAAATAACGTCTAAAATTCGTTTTCTAACATTGCTTTTTTATAATGCAAAAATGTGACGTCGCAACATCTGATCCCCCCCCCCCCCTCATCACACATCGTCACAAAATTACAGACCCCCCTCCCCCCTACGAGTGTGACGTCATTTATGGATGACCCCTAAGAACAAAACTAGCCCTTCGCGTCATCCATATTTTTTTGTGTGCTAAGTCGTGATAAAGTAAATGGTGTAGGTATGTGTGTGTGTCTGAGGGGGTCATGAAATGAATGTGAAGCATCATATATTTTTTTGCATTAAATGGTGAAAATATAAAACAAATGGTTGTTATTTCAAGGGGTGGGTGGAACTATGCAATAATGGGGGGGGGGTTGCATTTTGGGACTTTCATTTCTATGTGTCTCTTAAATTACTTAAAATAGATAAATACTTTCTCTTAAGTTTCATTAGTTTGTATTTAGAAGTGTTATTCTGTTAGTCATCACTTTTGGGGGATTAGGCTCTAGATCTAGATGTCTATGTTACTTTTAGTACTCAGTAATTTACTAAGTTAGTAGATTATCTGTCTCACACTATATTTAGTAATTAATATTTAGGCCTAGTAGGTCTATATTACATTAGATTTAATACACTACCTAATCATCATAGATGTAACTAGTTATTATTCGAAGTGACTACAAGTCTCGCAGAGCGTGGCCCGTAATGAAGTGACTATGCGTATCGCAGGTTGAATTTTTCATCTTGTGATTGAAAATCAATGAAAATGCTTATTTTTCCTATCCTCAACACATTCGGTGTCAACAATGTACCAGCTGTAGACTGTAGTTCATAGACCTGGAGCGCCGAGTTTGAACCCGGGGTTAGCACAACCGGTACTAGTGTCTTTTTTACATTTTATTTTTTTTTTATATTGAAACATGACTTGTGATTCTTTTTTTTAAATAAAATTTCCAAACATCATCTACTCAGTAAATCAGTCTAGAATCTAAATCTAGTCTAGTAATTCAGTTACACTTGTGACCTACTTAGGTGGAGTCAGGTTCTATTTTTATTTTGACATTGTATAATACCTTATATGGAGTGATTGTGCAACAACCGGGGTTTTTCCACTGACTTATTAAGGGGTCTAAGACATAGAAATTTTCCATTAAGATCTGATTGAATGATTCTGGTCAGATGACTACCCCATAGCTCAATGGCTAGGATCTCGGCGTGCCACGGCGGCGGCCGAGGGTCGAATACTCGGTGAGAAACTGAGTAGAGTCTATGGTGTCTAGTGGTCTAGTGGCTTAGAAACTCGGCTTGCTGCCGAGTAATGTGGCATAGTGGTTAGGAACACCACTAGTGGCCTAGTGGTTAGAACCACGTAAAGTGTCACACCATAGGAAACACAACCAGCACGAGAACAGTAGCTCAAGTGGCCTTGAGTGATCTGTGAGTCTCCATTTGAGACTTGTCGCAGGCAGTTTACCTTGATCGGGCCGTCTACCTTGATCAAACAGTCTATACCAGGCCGTCCATATTGTCCGGCAATAGATTCTGACCATTTGAACGTGAGAGAACTTGAGTCCTGTGTGTGCTACGCTTTCTTAAGTTGATTTAGTCTTCTAGTATAATATTACTTGTCGCCAAGTAATTCTTGAAGCTATAGCAGTGTTGTGTGGCCTGTGGCTATTTTTTTAGGCAGTGTAGAAATCTGTGATAGTGTTTTTTCCTACACTCTGTAAGTTGGGTTTTGATATTTTATACATTAAATATTTTATCTAGTTTAACCTTGTGTTCTGCCACAACTGTGTTCGCTTATTAAAGGTTGTATGTAGATTGGATGAGTGTTAATTACAATAGTATCACTAGTTTTCCCTAGACATCGAATTCGAGCCCTAGTGTGTCGTTGTGTTAGTGTTCATCCATTTAGGCCGTAAGGCATTTGCATATGACCCCGAAAAAAGAATCTGGGGACGTTCACCTTCTATCTGGCTGATAGATAGGGGACGTTACAAAGTGGGGGCTCGTCCGGGATTTAATCTGTCGTTCCAGTTGTTGGTTATATCAGTAAGCACTAAGTTTAGTTTGATTTGGTTGTTTTTCTATCCAGTGCGCCGTGTTCTTACAGCGCGCGCAAGCCTAGAGGTATCTAGGTCAACAGCCAGACGTGTCACGATAAGAGGTCAAGTACACGGCCCAACGCTCAGTGTTAAGTTAGTGAATCTAGGCTTGTTGTGTTTTTGAAAGTTAGTGTTATGGAGTCTTTTTTGGCTAATCCCACTTTTGAGGAGGTCGAGAAGTTGAGTAGAAAAGTTTTGATTAGTCTTGTTAAGGAATTGAAATTGGATTATTCTGTTACGCAGAAGTCAGAGGTGTTGAGGGATAAAATTGTTGTTCATTTTATTAATGAAGGGGTATTTGATGAAAGTTTGTTGGCTGGTGTGTTACTCCGTGAGGAGAAAGTTGCTTTAGAGAAGGCATTAAAAGAACAGGAGTTAGAGGTTAAAATTGCTTTAGATAGGAGGAGGTTGGAATCAGAATTTGGTCAAGTTAGTGATGTCACTTCTCTGGTAGATCCAAAAAAGTTGTCGGTAGGGCAAGTGATTGCCAAATTTGGGAAATTAGTTCCTAAATTTGATGAAACAGATTTGGTCGTTTTCTTTAACTCATTTGAGAGTTTAGCGAAGACATGTGAATGGCCCGAAACTTCCATTACTGCTTTATTGAGCTCGGTCCTTACTGGGAAAGCTGCAAAAACATACCAGGCACTCTCTCACGACGTTCAAAATAACTATAGTTTGGTCAAGACTGCCATTTTGAAGGCCTACGCACTGACGCCCGAGGCCTATCGGATAAAATTCCGAACACTCCGCAAGTTACCCACTCAATCATATGTGGAATTTCTCTTTGAAAAGGAGAAAATATTCTCAAGGTGGCTACACTCTGAGGAAGTTTCTGAGTTTGAGAAACTCAGGTCACTTATCCTAAGGGAAGAATTCCTAACGTCCCTGCCTGAAGAGATACGACTACACATACTGGATAACAAGATAATTGACATCCGGAAGGCTGCTGAGTCGGCTGACACATATATGTTGGTGCATAAGAAACCACCAGTGTCAGGAAACCGCCTCAACCCCGTGCTTCCCCTTTTTGGCAGCAATCCTCCTGTTGGCCAACACTTGAAGGCATCACAGTCCAGAGAGAACCCAAGATCAACTCTCAATCGTCGAGCGGTATGCCAGTTCTGCAAAAGACCTGGTCATCTTGTTAAGGACTGTTACAAACGTCGTCAATATAACAGAGAGGTGGTGCGTACTTCTGCGCACTATACTCTATCCCCTCAAGCAGCCAGTTTAACTATGAACTCTAGAATTCTAAAGGACTCTAACCCTAAGTGTCCGCAAGAAGGTAGTCAAATCCCCACACATTATGTGCAGTCACATTTTGACTGTTCTCGCCACCATCCAGTTTCTTCCGAGTCTACCGATCTCGAGGGATCGAGAAAAGTTGACTTTTCATCTTTTATTGCCGAAGCCATCATTAGCAAACCAGGTGATCCGTTGTCTCAGCGGAATATCACCGTCCTAAGAGACACAGGAGCGTCACAATCACTTCTTTTGAAAAGTTCAATGGACATTACACCCGAAACGAACACTGGAAGGATTTCCATTATCCAGGGAGTAGGGACAAAATCTACTGTAGTCCCTCTACACAAGTTTGCCCTGAAACATCATCTCGTCGAAGGTGAGGTCATTTTAGGTGTGATAGATAGTATTCCAGTCCCAGGAGTACACCTACTTCTAGGGAATGACCTTGCGGGAAGCAAAGTATACCCCTGTACGGTTTCAGACCCTTTGTCAACAGTTCCAGATAATGATAATGAACTGTATCCTGCATGCGCGGTGACAAGAAGCCAAACCAAACAATTGGCTGACACAACGTCTGAACCACACCTACCATCATCGTCAAGAAATTCAACTCCCAAACTGGAGTCTATGCTTCCAGAAAACACAAGCCTGGGCTTACCCCTGAGAATATCTCAGGAAGACATCATTAAAGCTCAACAAGTCGACGCGGAACTCAAAGCAACGGTCGAAAAATCTCTCTCATCTGACGATGGAGAATATTTCTCCGAGAACGGCCTCTTCTTTCGTCGCGCTATACCAGTGAATGCCTCACCAGCCGAACCATGGTTGGGTAAAAACCAGCTGTGGGTCCCTCCACCTTATCGGCATGAAATACTTAAGCTGGCACATGACCATCCAATGTCAGCGCACCCAGGAGTCTCTAAAACGACGGCGAAGATCAAAGAACTGTTCTTTTGGCCCAAAATGAGAAATGATGTGTCGCGTTACTGTAAAAGTTGCACAAACTGTCAGTTGGCCGGAAAGCCAAACCAGACAATTCCTAAGGCCCCTTTGAGTCCGATTCCTGTATTAGAAGAACCTTTTT